ACAATGTCTTTATGTCGTGTTTTATCCATCGTTTTTAAGTCACCTCCTCCTTTCACTTTCATTGCCCCGATTAATTTGAAACCTTGTCTTCCTTTTTCCCGAACTTTCTTGCTTTCGCCTTAAATCAGTTACCGTCTGATAAAGTCACGAGGAGAGAAGTATACTTACTGCATGCGCGCACAACATACAATGACTTGGCGAGGTACGCTGCGTTCAGGGACGTGGTGCAGGTCCGCGGTGTACGCTTGCGACCGGCAGCGGTCCGATCTAGGAAACCGAGATTAAAATCTTCGTTGACAAAGGTTTCCCCGAAAGCACCTGAGCCGCTTGGGGCGCCTTGGTTTCGCACATTGTCCATTGGGCCCGAGCCCAACGCCGAGAGTCCTTCGACGCATTGAATAGACACGACGTCAGCCGAACACGGCCGTATACCCTCGGCGTTCGATCTGTGTCTTCGCTCGATCTGACTATGATGATGTCGAAGTCCTAATGCACAGGTTTCGATTATTTTAGGCGGTGTTCATACAGTAGTGGTTACCGCGCGCGTGGCGGTTTCGATTTTTTTTTTTGCAGATCGTGTATTTAGAGATGAGACGCTTGCACGCAGAGCGGGACTGCCCGGCTTGGCTAAAATGTTGGAGGCCCCACACGGAGATCTCTTTCTTCTCTTCCCAGGGCGCCCTCCTACAAGAGGTCCAGCTACATGATCGTGTTCGTTGTTATGGGCTTGGTCTGCTTCTCGCTTGCCGTCGTTCTCGTCGTCGCAGTGCCCGTCCCCAACGCCAGACCGAACACCCGTGGGTCCTCATTGTCCTCATAAGATGCCGTCACGTGCGCTTTGCTTAAGGTGGGGACTAGAGCTTGATTGTGTCCGAGTCATCGGTGAAGGATGACGCAGCACTCGTTTTCTATACGAGCTAAGCCGAGTCACGTCGAACGCCGACGCAATTCTCGTGTACAATACATGCTCTGAGATATCAAGCAATGGCGGACAGGCGGTGGCACGAACTTTTGGAAAGTGTTTATTAGAATATTTTCAAGGTAATAATGGCGTTTCTCGCCAATATAAGCAAAGATGCTTCTATTGGCGAGGAAGGCTTTCAGTATACACGTTTGCACGAGATGCGCTCCTGTCATTTTAAGCGATGCTGGTGTCGCATAACGTTTCTGCCATGTTGGGATGTGCTAGGGGCACGTCATTGGGGTGCGCGAACGTGGGTCAAGAAGGAAATGCAGTAGCCATTGTAGTGATGACTCGACAGTTTTCACTCTTTTGCCCCGCGGCGACGCGTACTTCCGTCCCTGCGAGTGCGCATGCCCTGGGTCATCTTGAGTTGGAAGAAAGTGATAATAAAACACTTGACTTCCGGACTCCGGTTGGCTGGTCGCTCCTTCCCCGCGAGAAATGGTGTCAGAAGTGGGATCCGTCCCGGAGGAGCGACGCAGCGAGTGAGCCGTCGACGTGGCGCATCCTGCAACGCCGCCATGGCGGACGAAGACGCTAAGTCTGCGCAGTTCTGCGCCGCCGGTATCCAGCCGCCTCCGAAGTTCGACTTTTCGAACCCGGCGAGTGAAAGGAATGGGTTTTCCTGCTCGACGACTACTGCTACGCTTCTGGGCTCTACCAGGCGCCGGGCGAAGTGTAAGTCAGGACACTGCTCTACGGCATGGGCTCCCGTGAGGCTCGACGACTCCTGGACACGTTGGCATTGACAAGCGACGACTGGTGTTCTCTTCAAGCTGTGAAGACCAAGCTCACCGACCACTTCATCCTCCCGGACAACGAAGTCTACGAAAGCGTGCGCTTCAACCGTCGCGTCCAGGCTGAAGGCGAGTCAGTAGGCGACTTTTACACTGCACCACGTATGCTCGTCAAAAAGTGCAATTACGCGTCCGCGGAAGTCGAAGAACGCTTCGTCTGCGATAGATTTGTCGTCGGTCTTCTGGACTCTAAGCTGGTAGACAAGTTATGTCGCACGCCAAGGCTCACGCTCGAAGATGCGAGACTTCAGGCCCGTATTCACCAAGACGCCGTAAAGGCCCGGTTTGAAGTTTTCCAGAAGGAACCAAATCCTGGCAATCTGGTCTCCGAAGCAAAAGTCCGAAAACGTCTTTCGAAGTCACGGCGGCGTTCCGACTTGGCGGGGAAAGGCGCAACGAGGACTTCTAAGCCTTGCTCAAGCGACGGACGCTGCAGGTTCTGCGGCAGGTCACCTCACCCCCGCTCCGACTGTCCTGTAAAAGAGGCAAGATGCAGGTGGTGCAAGAAAGTTGCACACATCAAAACCGTCTGCGAACAAAAAAAAAAAAAAAAATCCATGAGTTTTCGAGTTGCACACAGTTGCGGCAGGCGCCCGTACCAGAGCAAAGTTCGCAACCGTGGCCGTCGACGGACACAACGTGAACTTCAAAGTGGGCTTCAGCCTGGATGAGCTACAGACATATCTCTTACATTATTATCGTTCTCGTACGGCTTCAAAGACGCTGACTTTAAGTTAGAAACGCTAAAAATGTCATAAAGAGCTCTGCTGAATCCGAGCTAAATCCCGGTTTTGGTTGTAATTGCTCGGCTTTTAAGTAATTCCTTCTAAAACAACAATCACGAGAATGAGAATATGGTTAGAGATGTCGGCCACTCAGCCTGGTTGAAAATTGGACAAAATGCACAGTATCATAAACGCTGCCATTGACGAGAAAATTTAAAAGTGATATGACAGGTACTTGATCCCTATGGGGCGCTTGTTCAGGGTGACTACGAATTACACTCGAAACTGTGTAACCATGGAAGTGGTCAAAACTAGCGATCACTAAGGAGCTGAAGGATCACCGTTTCCATAACTCCTCGAGTGCGGGCCGGGGCACTTGGGAGAATTGTAGACAATAAAAATATATAAAGTGCTGATTTCAGGCTTGTGTCCTTTTGAAACCCCTGGCCAGATCTGGAATTTCCTTACTTAGCCAAATCTGGGATTTCCATACCTAGCCAGGGGTATCAGTCTATATCTGGCATTATGAGGCTATATCAGGCAGATATACCATATCAGGATATATGTGGCCAATTTTTGATATGGCCGTATCTGAAATCTTCAGATCTGGCCAGATATAAATTTTTTGTAAGGGATATGTCACGATACGTTCCATTTTTTAACTGTAACGGGAACGAGTTCCTTTTTCTCATATGGAACTTGTAACGGGAATGCGTTCCAGAAATAAGAAGGAACAGGGAACGATCTTTCGTTTCTTTTATTGAGGAACGTGTGCGACACTGATTCATGTGCACTGCTCCTTATGCTGTACCGCAGAGAAGGCTAGAAGCGCGAGCTCATAGCGTTGGGAGCTGCTCTTGACGCGCGAGAGCTTGTGCCGCCGAGATGTGCCCTAGAGCAAGGAGCTCGCGCTTGTAGCCTTTCCTGCGGTACATCATAAAGACGGCGTCGTCGTTTTTCTGCATAGGGGATTTACGTACCCAGCGAACGAAGGGCAGGTGGAAAGCCAAAAGAGACGGCAAGAACTCCGGAGTAATGCTGGATCAGTAACTCCCTGTACATGCAGAGGATCAAAACAAAGTGAAAGCCAAGTTAATACAGTCCGATTTGCAATAAATAATCATTGCTTTATTCTTTCTGCGCATGTGCGAAGATGCTTGTTCTCCCTACCGAAAAACCCTGTATAACTTTTTGCGCTATCTGAATTATGGAACTGCAAATTTGTTTCTGGAAACCTGAAATCCAGATTGCAGGCAAAGAAATATATTTTTTTTTTAAACCTGAAATTCATATAGAGTTTGTATGGATTTCAGTTCCATAGTCTAGATAGCGAAACTTTATTCTGGGTTTTTCTGTAGGGCTGCGTTCAAAACATGACACGCGCGCTCGAACTCTATAAAAATAGGAAGACAGAAAACAGATGCCTGATAAAAGCATGCCCATCATAGGAAGTAGTAAAATCAGACACATTTTATAACGCACATACTTTATTCTTTACAATTTGCATGATTTTACCGCTCTTAAAAATGCACAACGGGGTCATTCTAATATATGTGACAGGGCTACCTAGGATATTAGCAATTTAAAAGCGTCACCGGAATGCTATAGCGAATTTTGAACACACACTAGATTCCTTTGGATGATAATTTTGCTTAGATTCGTCACTCGTGTTCACACACCTTCTGTGGAACACAGGGTTGGGCCTGAAATATAGCAAAGTTTAACATCGTCCACTGATGAGGAAAAAAATGCTGTAACTAAAGTAATTACACTTTTATAACAATAATAAAAGTATACATAGTATTCGGTATGACCGAAATAACAAAAGTGATTCATGTTATTTTCCGGCGAAGAGACAAAACGCACGCGCGTTTTTCCGTAGGAATGCACAGGAGCACCGCAAACGTACACTGGTTGCTACTATACTCTGTTTCACCTTATGATGTACCGCAGGAAAGGCTACAAGCGCGAGCTCCTTGCTGTAGGACACATCTCGGTTGCACAAGCTCTCGTGCGCCAAGAGCAGCTCCCAACTCTATGAGCTCGCGCTTCTATCCTTGTCTGCGGTACAACATAAGGTGAAACGGAGTAAAGCGCTTGTTGAACATCTAGCGTACACTGTAATAACTCTATGGGTTAGCCTCGCACACGACCTACGAAGCACGGAGGTTCCGGTGATTCGCGTTCGAATCACAACCCAACTTGAGCAAAGGCGGTATAACATTGCCTTATCCGTCCATTCTTTTAACCAATTATGATTCACCATGAGGGGAGCTTCATTGCTGAAGTCTTATTTGGCACACACAAAATTCGTTTAAACAGATATTAATAGCAGGAAGGCATATGTTGTCGAAATAAGAGAAATACCCACAACCCGTGCCAACAGACGATGCGAACGATACGTCTTTCGTCAGACACATTTCGATGGGTTACCTTCAATTTCAACGTAAGGGTCACTGCAGTAGAATGGGCACACGTGAGACTAGGCGACTATTTTTCAGACAAGGAAATGCACAGCTCAGGCCCGGTCTCAAAGCGAGCTAACCCTTCGCCTTTTACTAAAGGTTACCGTGCGAACGGGCCACTAATGAGCCTTTAGGCCAATTTTTGGATGGCCCTGATCGTTTGACCGGGGCCACATGATTCAATACAAAATCAGAACAATCTTTTTTTTTGAACAAGGTGAAGTTTTCTCTCGGTGACGTTGTGAAACTCGGTATTCCTTAAGCAAGGATTGTTTTTAACTCTCACGACCTATTAGCGACGTGCGCCACCAAAAGAGTCTCTCTGTCTCATCTCTGTGATTTGTCAAACGACGAGTATATTGTCAGACTGTCAACTTTGACAGTGTTGGTTTAGGACCACGATGGTTCCTAGCTTACACCGTGCTTATTACACGCATTATCGAACTTTTTGCTGCGAATGATGATAAATCAGCTTGTACTTACCAGAGCAAAATAATAATACACTGAACAGGGCAAAACAGCTGACTAACAATTTTGCTTCAGTACGCATATTGTCACGAATGAAGAGTTAATGAAACAAAGAATAACTGAAGAAACTAAACGTTTAATGGGGTGAACTTGTGCCCAAAATTAAAAAAAAGGAAACAGAACATAACAGGAGAACGTTGCGGGCGTCGAAGTCGGCGTAACAGCAGAATCGAACGCTGAGGTGAAAACTGACCGCAGCTCGCCACGCAATGCCCCTTATGTTATATGCATGGGCTTCTGGAATAATCGGCGTATAAGGTTCAACGCATAGAACATTCGGACCTCGAACAAGCAACAGGATTCTCGAATTTGCCAGAACACTAAATTGAAGAAATATCAAAAGATGCGTCACTTTCAGGAAGCGAACCCTGGCTTTTCGCATGGGAGGCTGGCACCATAACCGTTAGGCCACGCGGGCGTGCTGCCTACTTGGCCAGCTGCGCGCGCGGCAATACTCTGCAGCCTCTGAAAGAGACGCTACACATATGAAGAAGTGTACTAAAGCGAAGTTGTTAGCCAGCTGTTTTCCTAGTTCAGTCCTTTCTTATTCTTTTTTTTTTTAAATGTAAGTTCAAGCTGGCCATTTACCAAGATGATAACTTCATAAGTAACGCCCCAAATAACAAAAATTATCTATGTTATTTTCCGGCGAAGAGACAATATACACGCGCGTCTTTTTATAGGAATGAATGCACAGGAGCACCGCAAAAGTAGACTGGTTTCTGTCTGCTTTAATTTGCATCCCGGAAGTCGCACAGACACTGGCGCCAATTGAAACTCTAGCGCACATTATAATAACTCTTTGTGCGGTGCCACCATTGCTGAATGTTTCGAATACCTTATTCCTATGGTGAAATTTTATCTTGCTACTTCGGTGTTGCAACGACGTCGCAATTTTGCGGCTGCGACTTCACGACTGCGTTCCAACGTCACAACTGCAAAAATCACACGCGAAATCGCACCATTTGAATTGGACTGCAACGTTTATTACGAATGTCAAGGAAGCTTGCGTTCCTCACAGCGGTTCGGCTGGGACGTCTGCGCTATCTGAAACGAGCGAATCAGGGTATTGCCCTGGCTGATACATTTAACGGGTATTTTATGAAGTCACAGCATAGAGGGCCCCGACGGTTGGGGGCCTGAGACCGAAGCGCATCTACATTCGCTCCAAAGGCATACCAGGTTTTGACAACGCAGCAATGCAGCACGGCATGCTTACGTTTCTCACTTGCAGCACCAGTACAAAAAAAAAAATATATATATATATATATATATATATATATATATTAAACATTAATAAAATGTATAAAACGCAATAGATTTTTTTCTAAAATACCTTTTTGTGTTGGTAGAAAATGTAATGTGTAAAAAAGTACAAATCAACTTTGTGTATGACAGATCATTAGATGTGGTCAAGACAAGCTTTGAATTTCCTTCTTAGTATATAAGGAAAATGAAGTTAGTGCTTGAAACGACGGCAACCACTTGAGCCATGACAGTGGCTCTAGTAATGACGGGGAACAAGTGAGTAATGGACGCCGACAGAATGAACTCGCAGCATGGAACGACCGACACGTATAATAAGCTACATAAACCTTGAGCAAACGCCCGGCCGATCGAGCCAAGACAATCCACAAGGATTTGCGAATTGTTGCCACGTCAACGATTACAGCATTCATTTAGGCCCAATTAAGAACGGCCGGGGCGGCGAGATCATCGCTCATACGTCGTGATTTGAGCTAGGTCAGAAAGAGCGAAAACCTGCTGCACCACTCATTGCGAATGAACATGTATATAATTATAGAGCGACCACGAAGGACAATTCTTCTGAAGCGAGCAAAAATGCTCGTTGCAGGATGGGCATGCCGCCATGTTTGCCAACGCCATTTCTCAAATTCTACGTTAGGGGGCGAGCCAGGCGTGCAATCGCCAACCCTCCCCCTCCCCCTCCCCCCACCCCCCCCCCCCCCCAAAAAAAAAAAAAAAAAAAAAAAAAACAGGTTTGAGTTTTGCGCATGCGCGCTGGCGAGCCACTTTAACCAAAAAAGGCCGGGCCCCTATTCTAAATTTCCCCATTACTAACATCATTCTCAGTTACGTCTGTTTTGCTATTCTCCACGGCCTCATATAACCCTTGTACGTTTGCTATCACTACTGAGTGAACTAATCACCGCAATGAATGTACCGCGATCCTGCACTTTTTTTGTTGTGGTGATTCGTTTAGCTGGCAATAAAATCCCCCGCAAAAAAAAGAAAAAAGATTAAGAGCCGAAAATTTGCCCTTTTGCCATTGCTTGATTGACTCCCTTTGAATCTCAATTGCGTCGGCTGCGATAGATCGTAAAGTGAAACCAGGCATAATGAGGGAAGTGCGCCGGCCTCGTCTTCTATACACCTTTGCAGGCACGGCCTCTGCAAGCTGCCATCTTGCTGCTGGTGTGGATAGATCGCTCGATAGTGTAGCATTGCTGAGGCGTACCCACGGCCTCAGCAATGCTTGGCCATCAGACGATCTACCCGCACCAGCAACAAGATGGCGGCGCCCAAAGGCCATACCTGCAAACGTCCACAGGTGGCTCTGCGCGTCTAGAGCGCGCACGGTTTTCTTTCAGACTCGGCGCTGAAAAAGAACACGGACGACGACGACGGGACGGTACGGCCGAAAAGCGATGCTACCGGTCAGTTGCAGCCCTTTTTAGATATCTCTAAAAATGTTCAATTTATTCGCTTTTTCTCGCGTGAGTTTGAACGTGGTGGCGTCAGTTTGCAAATGGCCCCCAAACACTTCCGGTCCTCATCTAGACGGCGGGTTTCCCAGTGTTTGCGAAATCAGATATTCACGCTATCTTCCGGAAACGGCCGCGCTTATAGCACAGTCAGGCTGAATTCACTTTTATGGTTAAAGAATTATGAGTAAAAAATGATTAAATATACCTGAGCCGGATGTGTGCCGGGGCTACGCAATAAATGGTTTGCTGCCCCCCCCCCTCCCTTTCCCCCCCCCCCCCCCCAAAAAAAAAAAAAAAAAAAAAGGCGAATTTTGGTTTGGAGGTTTTCCACTCAAATCATGTAGAGCTTTTGGAGCCGAATTTTAAATTTTGAATCCCTAAAATGTATGGGTGCTGGGAGTATTCTTGAATTGAAATAGTTTGCAAACGGCAAGCTTGGCGTGTTTTATGTTTTCGGGTTATTGACTATATACCGAGGTGGCTGATGTGAAAAATGACGCTTCTATTGTGCCAAATTTAGCTGCTGCATTCGAAGTTTACTTTAAGATAATTCGGGATATGCAACATAATATGGGTGCCGAAATATTTTAGGAGTAAACGGGACTCACATACTATAAACATGGCACCTCCCGTGCTTTAGTTTGTAGGCAGGCTTGGCTCATGACGACTTCCGCAATAAGTTCGTAATACTCCTTGCTGCGGTTCGGGGAACTTGACGTGTTGTCCGGCATTGCAAACAGCCGAACTAGAAGTTCACCAGGCAGCCAGATTTGTTGACGTGTACGCGAGTGAACGACAAACGTGCACGCTCAGGAGAAACCTCAGGAGAAACATCGACTCGAGTACAGCAGCCTCTGTCGCTGATTAGCAACCAAGAACGAGTTCTTAGAATCCGGCCAACTCGTCGAAGGCCAAGTTGTGGAATATACCAACTCATCACAGGTCAGTTCGCCGAGAGGGCAACTTGTCGAGGGGGCAACCTGTCGAAGGGCAGTATGTCGGATCGGCGTAAGAATGCTCAAAAGATCAAATTTGTTTTATTTTGGCCTTTCCCTTCTTTAGATCTCTGGCCCTTATGTATAGCAAGCGCAGAAAAACTAAAGTTCCCTCGATGCATCGCGGCATAGGCGGCGTAGCCAAACTGGCTGGCGAGATCGAACTATTGGCAACAGAACCAGGAAGCTTATTTCAAAACTCAATATATTGGACAAAAAAATTAGTATCGACGATAAAGCGATTTTCAAGAAAGTGTGAGCGATCACCATGATCTTGTGTGCAGAGACAACCGGCCGACTACTACCTTCTAGTCCTTCCGGAGCCTCACCAAGATCGGCCGTGGTCGACACCTTCCAAGACGACGCCGAGGCAGGGACAGGTACGAATCGCGCTTGCGCACTCACTCTCTGCTCACCGAGAAGACAGCTTAAGCATGGTTCACACACTCGCCTTTGCTTGCAGCGTAGTGCGGTCTAAAGTTTTGTGATCTCTTACGACGAAAGCAGAGCCAGAGATTGCGGAAGAGTTTGACCAGCGGGCGTGGCCTGCTTGACAGCTAATCAGCTACGTCACTAAAACGTCACGCGTGCCGTAACCACGCCATAGTTCGCCATTTTCGAGCCCAGCAAGCCCAGCCTGGTGCAGCTATAGCCTCCCGCCATGTTATCGAAAAAACCAACGACACGAGGCGTTACAACAGAATGAAGAACTAACTCATTGTAGAAAATAAAAATCTACAAAGAGCTGCCAGCAGATGGCACTAATGGCGCCAATAGCGCGGCGCACGGGCAGCGGCTGCTGCAGCTCCTCCTCCCCACCCCAATGATAACAAGATCGCTATCCCAATCATTGATACAGCGATCTTGTTTCCTGAACATCTTCGACTGGAGGTGAGGAAATAAACATCGAGCAACTCATC